TCAAAACGAAACTAATTAAGCAATAAAATCAAAGGAGTGGATGTTTGTTACTAACCTTAAAGCAAAAAGATCAAGCCATTCTTCAAAATCCAAGCACTAGCTTCATGGTGAAGAACAGCCGCAACAATGGAGGGAAGGGTCCAAACGCGCGCCTCTATTCTCGGGATGGAAGAGAGGAGGAAGGAGAGGACGGCTGCAGGCTTTTTGTGTTGTAGGCTTATCACCGTCGGTTCTTGGCTAGAACCGACAGTGATAGAGCACAATCATTGTCGGCTCTTGGCTTAAATCGGCAGTGATGAGTGGTCGCCAAAACACTGCCGGTTCAAGCCACAAACCGGCAGTGATGTGGTCCTTCACTGCCGGTTTTAGCCCAGCCCCAATCATTTTTTTATTTTTAAGCTCATAACCGACAGTGAAGATACATCACTGCCAGTTCTCATAAATCCGACAGTGATGATGCCGGCAGTGATGTGTAAATCTAGCGTAGTGTAGCACCGATGGGTGGTGCAACATCCCGATGGCCGACACCTCCTCGCAACTTGCTCCTCCATTCTTGGTCAGTCCCTTAATCAGAACCTCATCTTCTACAATTGCACCAAGCCGCCGCCGTCAAGCGGGGGCATCGGAAACGGTGTGCCACAACAACACGTTTGTTCGTGCCGCTGATGGGAGTTCCGACGAGTCAGGCAGCTACTTTTTGGAAGGCTGCAGCGCTACCATGGTGCCGGTGCTTGGAGTGTCTGGCAAGGTGAACGCTACCAACTACCAGCAACTCGTCAGGGACGGCTTCCTCGCGACATGGCAGTGGTCGCCACCGCCACCGCCGCCGCCGCCAGGTAACTTCGCTCTTGGAACTAGTATTATACCGAATCTATCTCTCTCTCTATCAGCAGGAAGAGGAATAATGCCTTTCGTCTATATAGCTTCGAATCAGGGCTGACATAGAAGTGAGAGGAGCTCATAGTCATACCCTTTCTAGGTCCCCATTTGCACGCAGGAGTAGCTCTCATCTCAACGAGTGACCTTGGCTGCCTTCCCTGTTCTCTCCATTCACAGGTAGCTTTGGCCAGCGGCTGCTGGAGTAATGGTTATTATCTCGTGTGTTCATGCTCAATTGGTGGTGACACCGACGAATTGCCAGGGCTATTGTGCCCGCACTGGCTGCACAACAATCCCTGGTATAGTTTTTGAAATTTCAATTTTTATGATATATATGATACAATTTACACCTTATTTGTGGTCCTAGTTTATCTGATTAATTTTTTGATTTTTTAAAATAAAATCTATAATTTTGTAATTCTAAGAGCCCATTTGAATTCATTAGCATTAAAAATTAGCTAACTAATATCTAAGAGCATAGAAATAGAGATTTTGGTGAAAAAACACCCTCCAACTATCTCTTTAATTGGATATCCAAAAATAGATATCATCAAGCACTACTACAAAATTCAATTTATGCAGTCGTTCCAAAGGTCTCTCGTGGCGGGCTCCTATTTTTTGTCCGTCACAAAAGATCCTGTAGGGACGATTTACCATGGCGACACTTTTTTTATTTTCCACTTGTGGGCATTTTTGCCCGCCACGGTAAAAAACGAAAATTCACGTGGCGGGCATATTAAGATGTCCGCCACAGAAATGTACCTATTATTAACCGTGGCGGCCGCCTTGTGGAGTTAGGTGCCCGCCACGGTAAATCGATTTTCCGTGGCGGACACATTATAAGGCCCGCCACGGAAAAGGCCACGCCCAATAGGCACACCAAATGAGGCCCGTATCCAATTCTCGATTTATCGGGCTTATATATACGGGGTTTTAGGGTTTTCACTCCACCTCTCTCTCTCCACCACTCTCTCCCTCAACCGCGCCCACTCTCTCCCTCTCCTCCGATCCTCTCCTCCCTCAACCGCAAGCAGTAGCCACCACTCCCTCTCGGTCCTCTCGCACGAGGCACGGCGTCCCTCTTCCTCCTTCCTCTCCTCCTCGTCCTCCCTCAACCTTGATGGCACCTCTCCTCCTCCTCTCTCTCCTCCCTCAACAGGCGTGGACGGCGGCTCGAGGCACGCGGTGGCCGCGTCATGTGTCATGGGATTCAGCGAGGCGCCGGTGGGCGGACGTGGATCCACGCTCTTTAGTGGATGGATCGGGCGCCGCCGCGGATCCATGCGTGGAGCTGGACGGCCCGCTGGTCCGCGGGGTGGCGGCCGGGGAGGCCGGATCTGCCGCGAGCCCCTCCTTCCCCTTCTCCACCAGCCAGATCCAGGCGACAGCGGCCCTGGCGGAGGCCCCGGCGGCGGATCCGGCGGTGGCGCTGCCGCGGGGGGGGCCGGATCCACCGCGAGCCCCTCCTTCCCCTTCTCCGCCCTCCAAGGGGCTCCTCATCCAGCGACGGCGGCCTCCCCTGAGGTCTCGGCGGCGGATCCGACGGTGGCGCGGCCGGGGAGGCCGGATCCACCGCAAGCTCCTCCTTCCCCTTCTCCACCGGGCAGATCCAGGTGCCGGCAGGCAGATCCAGGTGGGGGCGGCCCCGGTGGAGGCCCCGGCGGCGGATCCGGCGGTGGCGTGGCCTGGGAGGCCTGATCTGCCGCGAGCGCCTCCTTCCTCTTCTACATCGGGCGGATCTAGGCGGGGGCGGTCCGGGCGGAGGCGTCGACAGCGGATCTGACGGTGGCGCGACCGGGCTGGAGCTGCGGCGGATCCAGGTGACGGCGGCGGATCGACGTCGACAGCGAGATCTAGGTCCAGTGCGGCCTAGATCCAAGCCCATGTGGGCTTTTCTTCTTTTTTTGTTTTTTTTCCAAATGATTTACCGTGGCGAGCTTCCTTAGGTGCCCGCCGCGGTAAATCGATTAACCGCAGCGGGCAAAGCAGCCCGCCGCAGGAAGGCCACGATTTACCGTGACTTCCCGGCAGCGGCGGACCGGTTTGCCCGCCGTGGGAAACCAAAAACGGCCGCCGCGGATAAACATTTTGTAGTAGTGAAGTCTGGATTTCTCGCTAGCCAAAGATGAAGAGCGAGGATGGCTCTCTAGACTACGCAGAAGATATAGAAAAACTATTGGAAAGTATAAGGATATAAAAACGATTTTTACTCAAATGACTCTCTAAATAATGATTTAGAGATTAGATTTTACAAAGGCTCTTGAAGATGCTCTATAATTGCTAATTAGCAGGGGTTGTTTAGACCAACCTGCTAATAGGTGATTGGATAGTGAGTTGAAGGTGCATATGAATTATTAGTAACTCTAAATCTGCTAATAGAACTAATAGTTAGTAGCACTCCAACTAATAATTAGCATGTTTATTAGCAGGTCTGTTTGGATCCACTGGTACTAATTTTAGTTGCTAATTTTTTGTGCTAATGAATCAAATATACTCTAATAAGTACGCTTCTACGATTTGTGATTCTACCGTTCAAGTTCTGATCCGATTCACTCTCACAATTTTAACAACCTTATCCCGCTAAACGCTTATACGGTCCGTGGCTCCTTCCCTTCCGGGGGGAAGTCGGAGAGAGTCGGGCGTCACGTCAACCTGCCTCTCGTATCCTCATCCTCGTCAGTGGCTGACACTACATCATTGTGACCACCGATTTGGCACTTTGATTTTCTAGTCAAAGGAGGTGGCACTTTCTATGGACAAGTGTCTCACAAAGTACGTTTACTCGTTGGAACCATTATGATCTCACCAGACTTCCTTTTACATATTATTATTATTGTCTTTGGAAAAAAAATCTATACTCACGTTCTCTCACCAAATTCTAGAACAAAACTAACTATATATTGTTAACTCCGTCGCGTCTCTCACTTAAAGCTAATCACATATTAGCAACATATCAGTACACTAATCTAAATAGCTCCATACAAATAATTAGGTAGCTATTAGTTAGCTAATTATTAGTATCAGTGGTTCCAATCAAGATCTTAGATTGCCCATATCATTGATCAGAAATATGCTTACAGGTCAAAGCGTTTAATTAGTCAGGTATCATTCATCACTACTATCAAATAGGGCCGAGAAAGGGAATTCAACTCAAATCAAAAAGCATCATAGTCGAGATAGTTATATTCTCTCACTTAATATCTAGGGTAGCGGCCTATATTATGATTATATTTGGAAAATGATGTATTATTTAACTATTACGACAAATAATGTTTCAAAAAATGTTGGGTAGGCAGGCAGAGAGGCTCTGCCTAGCGCTTAAGTGCACCTAAGGGTATGAGGCTGTACATTTTCCGATCAATCAGAGCAACTGTTTGCTAAATAGAGAAGATATAGCATGTTAAATGAATAATTCGATAGTTTCACATATACGTGAGTTATGACCATACTTAATCTTCCACCATCTCCATTTGTTCCATTTTTATGCGTGGGTCAAGTCCTAAACCACTATAGGTAGAAAACCACCTAGGCGAGTCAGTGTTGTTTGCCTAGCGGCTATACATCGCCGACCACTCTATGAACAGAGCTTATAAGTGCAACAACTCTTTTTTATCACCGATACGCAACTCTTTTGATTATTCCATATATAATCATATTAACTTAATTAATTTATGCCTAAATTATAATTTTAGATTAAATTCGATTCCAAGGATCCAAATAGGGTCTTAGATTAATCCACTCTTAAGTGCTTTTTTGCGAATAGTAAAATTTGCTTGAAACTATCAAAAAATAATAGGGTTGCACTCCCTAGCTCTAGTAGTAGCATATTGGTAATCTTAAGTGGACCTAAGAGAAAAATTCACCGCTCCGGTCCCTAAACTTGGCCGGCGGTGTCATATAGGTCCCTGAATTTCTAAAGTGATATATGTGGGTCCTTAAATTTGGCAGACAGTGTCATCCAGGTCCCTGAACTTTAAAGGTGATCACCGCAGATCCCTAAACTTAGTTAGCGATATCATCCCAGTCCGTGAACTTTTAAGGTGATCGTTACGCAGATTAGCCTGTTCGCTTCTCCTTGTAGTGTTTTCCCTTGTGTCGCAATCGCAACTCGCAACGCAAACATGCACGCTTGTCCTGTTCCCGCTGCTGGGCTGCTGCTTTGCCCAGCCATGCTACTTCTCGCTCTGCTAGCCAGTCCCACCACCGCGGTCGCCGTGAACACACTTCGACGCCCTGCGTGGCGGCGTTGTGCGGGAACCTCACCATCGCCTACCCGTTCTGGCTCGCCGGCACGCATCGGCCGGAGTGCGGCTACCGGCCCTTCGAGGTCGCCTGCGACAAGGGCAAGGTATCCCTCCTACTGGAAATACCAGGTCATGGATATCTTCTATGAAGACAGATCGTTCATAGTCACCAAAGTCAACCTGCAGGAAGACGGTTCTTACTGCGACCACATGCTCATCGGCAACACGGCCTCCGACCTGGGCGTTGGACCGTTCAAGATTAACAACAAAAACGAGGAGCTGTTCTTCCTCAGAGATTGCCAAGGGCAGGCGCGGCAGCTGCCTCGTCCTTGCGCGAGAGTGAGCTGTGCGAACCACACCAACTCTTTTGCCTGGCTAGCTGGGAAGTACAGTCCCGATGACATTCAGAAGCCTCTGCCGGGTAACTGCACAGTGGCGTTGATGCCGGTGCTGGGATACCAGGGGGCGGTAGCGGCCGACTACAACCGCCTAATCAAGGGTGGGTTTCTCCTAGAGCACAGCTTCACGGCAGAGGACTGCACACCTTGCACGCAGGCCGGCAGCAAGTGCTCCGTCGACACCGGCGAGGATCTGCTGGTGTGCCAGTGCTCCGACGGCGAGGACTCTTTTATTTGCGGTGAGTATAACCTAAATATTTATGCTTATGCTTGAACATGTGTCATCAGTCGGCGATAGGTTTCGTGGCGGCTTGATTGTACTGTCTCCACCTAACTTCTTTTCTTGCCTGAGCATCACGTACTTGTTCTGGCTCCGCCATACGTTGCCGTACGTACGTTTATGTTGTACTGCGGTTTGTGCAGTCATGACGACGGTAGCGCACGAGGACGGTGGCTGCGTGGCCGACCATGGTAGGAGACGGCAACGCGGCACCCCGACGAGTGCAGGCTGGCACAACTTTCATTCCAGTGCGTCCGGTCTGACGGCTTCTGTTAACAAGTCCCCTTGTCACTCCTCTTTAAAAAAAAAAAAGGTCCCCTGTTAGTCGTCACCGGCCAAGCCCTTGTTTTTTTTGACATTCTTTCATACTCCGTAACTGATAATTCAAATTACAGTAGTTATATATAGTTATTTAAAGCAATAAGTTAATTTTTAGTTTCAGTTATTGGAACTTGGAAGAGCTTAGAAGAACTACTATAAAAATGTTTACATATATATATTTTGCACACAGATACTATAATGAAAAAAATTCGAACAATCAACCCAAAAATTATAGCTTTCAATATAAAACTATAGGATTTGGAGTAAAATATAGTTTTATATTACAGTGCTTGGGGAAGGTGGTTATGGTATTAACATCCTCCCTTATTATAAAACAATCATTCCAGTGCTTCCGGTCTGACGGCTTCTGTTAACAAGTCCCCTTGTCTCTCCTCTTTAAAAAAAAAAGGTCCCCTGTTAGTCGTCACCGGCCAAGCCCAAGCATTCTGTTCCGGTCACCACGCCAGTGACTCGCGACAGTCGTCGCAATATTGCCCCGTCCATCGGGCAACTCGGAAATTCCCAAGCCCGATGAATGGCCCGCGAATGTACACAGTCTATACACTTATACAGGGCACGCGGACTCGCTTTACCGCAGTGTATGGTCGATCGCCATGCCTGTATTCTTCTAGAGCGGATCTTCTGTTCGTCAAGCAACTCCCGTCGCCGAGAAGCGATAACCTTCTCTTGCTCCTATGGCTCCGTCCTTGTTTTTGCTCTTCCTAGTCTCGTTGGTGTGGGTGGTCTTATCCTTACCACGGATGATGCCTGCGGCGGCAGCAGATGGGCAAGGAGGAGAGCACTGCCCGCCCAAGCTATGCGGCAACGTGACCATCTCCTTCCCGTTTGGGCTCATCCCGCAGGGCGCCAAGCAGACCAACTGCGGCGGCGGGATTGGGTTCCAGGTTCGTTGCCGTAACAACCACCCACCACGCCTCGGATACTATCAGAGCGAGGTCATCTTGCAGATCCTCAGAATCTTTTACCACAACCGCTCCTTGCTCATCGCCGATAGACCACTCGTGCAGCCATATTTTGATTTGTCTAGCCACGACGGCTGCCGAATCCCGGCGGCTAACACCTCCTCCGTACTGGTTCCTCCGCTCTCGGTTAGTCCCGTCAATCAGAACCTCATCTTCTACAATTGCACCAAGCCGCCGTCGCCAGGTGGTGTGGACCTCGTGGAGACGGTGTGCCACACCAACACGTTTGTTCGTGCCGCCGATGGGCGTTCCGACGAGTCAGCCGACAGCTACTTTTTGGAAGGCTGCACCGCTGCCATGGTGCCAGTGCTTGGAGTATCTGGCAAGGTGAACGCTAGCAACTACCAGCAACTCGTCTGGGACGGCTTCCTCGCGACATGGCAGTGGATGCCGCCGCCGTCAGGTAAGCGAACTTCACTCTTAACTTATCAGCCCAGGAAGAGCAAAATGCACGCGTTTGCTCTATACTCTATACAGATTCTTCGAACCTCCAGGGGACTGGACGTCACCTAGTACTCTGTACTACGCTAGAAGCCTAGAACAAAAGCCTCATCGCCTGTGATTGCTCCGGTGACAAGTGCGGTGAGTTCAGGAAATTAAAAACGCACATCAATTTCGACCTTTTTTTTGTTGCAAAAACAGAAATTTGTTTGCTAACCTGGAAGGAGTCAAGTTGGCCTATCCCAAATAGTACAAAGAGACCCGAGAAACTACTTCAGCAGTACTTTTTAGCGAATGAACATTATTTTTCCCTCACAACAAATCAGCATAACCATCAGTATAAGCCAAATTTCAGAGAAGCGAACAGGTCCGAGGCAATACACATACACAAAACACACACACACATAAAGAAAAGGGGGACTGAAAAATCAGAGAAGCTCAAGCACAATTAACAGAGGATTGCTTTACTCCTGCTCTCCTAGTAGTCAATTACCACTTTACCAGTAGTTCTTTTTCTCGAACAAAACCAGTAGTTCTTAGGTCATGCAATGCAACTATGCAAAGGATTCAATGATTCTGTAGTGTCCATTTGGGTCCCAAATACAGTCCTGCCAATGACATAAAGTCGCTATCCGTACTAATTGAAACTAACAACAGGTCGTCTTCATACAGTTTAGCGTGATCACTGCTACATGGAATATACAATGTTGATTGGAAAAAAGTTTGTCCCGCTTTTACGTGGACAGTCTGCTTCAACGGCAAATTATCTTTTGGTTGATTAGTGTCAGTTATTCCATTGATTGGGACATTGAGGCCCACTGTATTATAGTCAAAACACATGGGTAGAAGTATTCAACTACACTATTTGAAAAAGATGCCGTACCAATGGCCCTTATCCCTATTTTTCTTCTACTAGTGATAGCTGACTAGCGAACTGTTCTAGCGTCTGCTAACCAATGCACTATATTTTTTTCTAAGCAAACAATTGAATTGATAGAAGGGCAGGCCTGGTGTAGTGGTGAGAGCTGTCTCACTGAGTCAACAGGTCGTGGGTTCGAAACAACCTCTCCGTAGATTTTGCAGGGGAAAGGCATGTCTCGGTTTATTTCTTCCCCAGACCCCACTCATGTGGGAGCCTCCGGCACTAGGTCTGCCCTTTTTTTTAAACAATTGAATTGATCTGTTGTGGAATCAAGCTTCTAAAGTTGATAAGAACACACCGCAGTGAATTTATATGGGGGCAATCATACCCATGTGATGTGATTGTCAGATTTCAACTGCACAGGAGTGCTGTAATCTGCATGGCTTCGACACAAATATGATTGATTTGATATTCACAAGATTACTTGGTGTTTTTTTTATTTTGATTGTCATTTTTTATGTTTCCTCGTTGCATCATATTGCTCCTGCATACCTTTTGTGAGCATGACATGTCTATGCATTTTCTTCCACCAGGACTCTTTGTTTTCTGGCTTCTGTGCAGAGTCAGTTTGCGTAAGGATTTGCTTACTTTCTAGCTACGAATTTCTGAGGGCTATTTTTCTAACTCTTATCAAACTGCATCTTTGGTTCTATGTAGAGAACCTAGGAATCACTGGCTGGTGATATCAAGACCTTGGCTTATAATTTGAAACTAGATTGATCCCAAGACCCTCCCATGCTCATCTTAACAGTGTTTCCCCATGGATTTATGGTTGCAGTACTGCTTTAACCTTTTAGGTTGTTTCAAGGTCAGAAAGTTTACCCTCTAGTCATCCCCATTTTAACTTTTCTGCCATTTGCTGGTAAATATATAGATAGTTTGGGCCAGCAATCATGACTAAGGAATTTTATAAATCTTTGGACAAAGTCAAAGTCAAAGTCAATGGTAACCAATAACAATGCAAGAAAGTTTCAAACAAGGCACTGGGTTACTCTTGTCCATCCTAATTTAACCTGTCTAGCTGTCCCAGGTGTGCTTCAATCATGTTTTTTTGTCTTCTCTGTAATTTTTTCTTAACAGATGCTGTTCCTGTTTTCAGCAGTTACAAAAACCACATAATCTATATGGTCAGACAATTTTTATGTCATCACCGTGGTCTAGAAGTCAACATTAATATTTATTTTACTTCTAACAAGCTGATACTTAGTGGTGTTTCTTGCTATGGTACCACCTTCAATTGAGAATCTGAAATACAGCAGTTGCTGTATTTTCTTGTGCTGTCTTTTTCAGCTTTACACCTTCAATTTCTTAACATAATCATTTACACCTAGACACTTTGTTAAGATTTAAGTTGTAACATAGCCAGGCTTATGCTTTTGCATGATGTTTCTGGAGATCATAGAGAGATTTCAATGCATCAATTTATATCCTGCTCTGGTGATTGGCCATTCTATATGGAATGGCCGAATGGGGGGAAAGGTGATGGGATCACGTGAATATTTAGTAGGAAAAAATTTGTCTGTAGGCACCAAAAGAGTGTGGCCTTGTCTCCAGGACGACATCATGTTCGATTTTGGCTATATGACATTGCAAATTTGCAGGTTTATCATGAATATATATACCTATTTAATATCTGTAAGTACATCTATGTCGTGTAGCCATACAGGCTTATGTTGTCATGCTACACAGAGATGCAAAATGGTCACTATTGATAGACATCAAGTGCTGACAAACATCTCTGTGTTTATTCATACATCTCTTTTTCCCTGGACGGTTTCTTTTCATCTTCTATCAGGCTTTATTCTGCTCATATATACTGCCATATCTTAACTGCCAGCCATGAAAGGCTACAGACTAATTTATTCTGAAAAATATTACATTTAAATCAGCAAGTTATTCATAGTTACTATTCTTATGCAGGAGGAAGCAACACCAAAAAGGTAGTCGGAATTGGTGAGTATCAACCCTAAAGCTGCGTTTTCTATCTATTATATTGGGTCTCATTTCCTGCACTACCGGGACCTTTTAGCATCTTATGTGGCAGAATATCTAGGATCAATTGGTTACACATATTGCTAATGCTGTCACACTATTATCCACTGATTTGATAGGGGGCTTAGCGAAACATGCGTAAAGAAATTTAGAAAGAGAGGAAAAGGAAAACGAGACTAATCAAATGCTTGGAGCGCGTGGACTACGAACCTGACCGCCACCGTCCTTTCTCCCCTTGTCATAGTCTATTCCACAGTACTACCTCCGGCCACAAAAGAATAATTCTCGGATTTCGATGAGTCAGACAGTCTGAACTTCGACTAACTTTATATAAAAAGTACAAACATTTTTTATACAAAATAAGTACCATTAGATTAGTCATAGAATATATTTTCATAATAAATTTATTTAGAGATATAAATGCTAATGTTATTTACTATAAACTTAGTCAAACTTGAGCTTATTTGACCGGCATAGTTAGCATAGTTGCATTCTTTTACCAGTAACATGATTCAAATGTCAATTCGGCGGTTGCCATTTGGTTGGCAAATATGGTCATGCTACTACTAGTGGCATATAGGCTCCGTTTGGTGCGGTTTCTCCACCAGCTTCAGAAGCTGTTTGGAGCCATTTTCTGTCAAATGGGATAAAATAGAACGGCATCACTCAGAAAGCTCTTGTTTTTTTTTGACATTCTTTCATACTCCGTAACTGATAATTCAAATTATAGTAGTTATATATAGTTATTTAAAGCAATAAGTTAATTTTTAGTTTCAGTTATTGGAACTTGGAAGAGCTTAGAAGAACTACTATAAAATTTTTTTACATATATATATTTTCCACACAGATACTATAATGAAAAAAATTCGAACAATCAACCCAAAATTTATAGCTTTCAATATAAAACTATAGGATTTGGAGCAAAATATTAGATCACTGTAATTTATTTTCAAATTTACAGTTTAAATTGTTTATAGCCTCTAAATCTGAATGCTCATATTATAACACCTCATTGTTTTGTGAGAAGAAAATAACATATACTTTTATTTCAGTTTCAATTTCAGTAGCTGCAAGCTTGCTCCTACCATGTATATATGTGTTGGTATGGCATAGGCAAAAACTAAGGTTTTTCCTATGCAAGAAGACTAGCAACACCATAGAAGAGAACATTGAGGCCCTAATATTAGCACATGGATCACTTGCTCCAAAAAGATACAAGTACTCAGAAGTAACAAAGATAACATCCTCGCTTAATAATAAGCTTGGGGAAGGTGGTTATGGCATGGTTTTCAAAGGAAGGTTAGATGACGGTCGTCTAGTTGCGGTGAAATTCCTGCATGACTCCAAAGGTGATGGCGAGGAGTTTGTTAACGAGGTTATGAGTATTGGCAGGACATCACACATTAATATTGTTAGCTTATTTGGGTTTTGTTTGGAAGGCTCAAAGCGGGCCCTAATATATGAGTATATGCCAAATGGTTCTTTGGATAAGTACATATACTCAGAGAATCCCAAGGCAGTTTTAGGATGGGACAAGCTCTATACCATAGCAATTGGGATTGCTCGAGGGTTGGAATACTTGCACCATAGTTGTAATACACGCATAGTCCATTTCGATATCAAGCCTCAAAATATCCTTCTGGATCAGAACTTGCACCCAAAGATTGCTGATTTTGGTTTGGCCAAGTTATGTCGTACCAAGGAGAGCATGCTTTCTATGACTGGTGCTAGAGGTACACCTGGGTTTATAGCTCCTGAAGTGCACTCTCGAACCTTCGGAGTTGTTTCACAAAAATCAGATGTTTATAGTTATGGAATGTTGTTGCTAGAGATGGTTGGAGGCCGAAAAAATGTTAAATCAATGGCTCAAGAGTCAAGTGAAAAGTATTTTCCACATTGGATTTATGACCACTTTGGTCAAGAGGATGGATTAAAGACATGTGAAGTAACACGTGAAACCGAAGAAATCGCCAGAAAAATGAGTGTGATTGGCCTATGGTGCATTCAAATATTACCAATGCATCGTCCTACAATAGGAAAGGTCTTGG